CAATTTAGCATGGCCAATCCACCCTAACCTGCACATCCCTGGGCACTGGAGGAATTTAAGCAAATTTAACAAAAATCTCAAACCTGGGCACTACTGGGCAATTTAGCACGGCCAATCCACCCTAACGTGCATGTCTTTGGGCTGTGGGAGGAAACCGGAGCAAACCTACACAGACTTGGGGAGAATGTGCAAACTCCACACAGACACAGTCGCCCGAGGGTGGAATCGAACCCGGATCGCTGGCGCTTTGAGGCAGCAGTGCTAACCATCGCGCCGCCGATATATTGACATAGGGAAAAAAAGCACAGCGTAGAGAGCAAAACCAATTGGGCAGCTCTGTCAAAAATCTGGGCAGGCCAGAGTCGTCGAATGGCCTCCTTTGGAATTGCAGAGATTCAAGATTTCAGTCCCATCACTGACCATTTTCATCCTATTTTCTTCAGGGGACATCGGGATTGCAGCTAAGGCCAGTATCTGTTGTACATCCCCTTGAGTGGTGTGCTTGGGCAGTTAAGGAGGGGGCCAAAGTGCTGTGGGTCTGGAGCCCCGCGTAAGCCAGACTCCCCTTCCCTAAAGGGCATTCGTGAACCCGACGGGTTTTCACGACAATTCGACAACGGTCGCCATCACCTTGCCGAGGTTTCGGTTTGAGATTTTTGTTAAATTTGCTTAAATTCCTCCAGCTATTGCAGCAGGAGGGGCCGTGAACCCATCTCTCTCCAGGGCGTTTAATATGAGCCTCTAGATTATGAGCATTACCCTCGAGCATTACTCATCCACCTGCACCTACACTCGCAGATTGAAGGCCCCAGCAGGGGAATACCTGGGCAACTCATTTCCCCCCCAACCCCAACCAAGGGGTTTAACAGTGGGAAAGGACGGAGGGGATTGGCACACCTCAACATTTTTCAGCTTCAGAGCGCAATCGATGTCGACTGTCGTCAGCTTCTTCCGTTTTCCGTGGTACATATACTTCAACGCATCCTGTGGGGGAAAGAGACAAAAATTGCATTCGGTAAAAAGGTCGCTTTAAACGGTGTTAAGAGGACTCTCAGTATCAGCCACCCTATCCTCCCACTACCTTGCCGATACAGCTTTAACATAGAAAACATACAAAATAGGTGCAGGAGTGGGCCATTCGGCCCTCCAAGCTTGCTCCACCATTCAATACGATCATGAGTTATCATGCAATTTCAGTATCCCATTCCTGCTTTCCCTCTTAACATCTGTCTGATGATGGAGTGGCATAATGTAATGACACAAGGGTTAGGCTCTATGACACTCAGACGCTGGATCTGCACCCTATTCACCAAATTCAACATTCAGTAGTAGCAGTGTGTACCGTCTACAAGATGCACGGTAGAAATTCACCAAGACTCCTCTAACGGCACCTTCCAAACCTGTGACCCCAACACCTAAACAGACAAGCAGATACACAGGAACATCAGCGCCTGCAAGTTCCCTTCCAAGGCACTCGCTGCCTGGAACTCGGAAATATACCGGTTGTTCCTTCAGTGTCGCTGGGTCAAAATCCTGGAACTCCCCTCCCTGACGGCACTGTGTGGGTGTCTCTAGACCACAAGGACTGGCTCAAAGTCTGCAGTAAGCCACTGACCCGCACTGCCATCGCCGAGAATTTGACGCTCACCCCTCATTACTGTCCACAGGCAAGGACTCTTCCCTTTCTCCGTAAGCTCCCCCATCCCTATGATGCTAAGAGATTACCAAACTCTGGCTTCTCGACTCCTATCTCTCCGTCTCTAACAGCACCACGCCTCCAGTGCTCTGCCTCTTTAAGTGGGGCACGGTTAAATTTAGTACAATTACACTCCTTGGAACATTTCACAATGTTGTTAAAGGCACTGTGTAAATGCAAGTCCTGGCTCCCTTCGGGTGAGAGACACATGTATTTGTTCTCGTGACGGCTTTCTGAACTAAAGGAGAGGAGGAAGAGGCCATTCAGCTCCTCAGGTCAGATCCAGCAATCAATAAGATCAGAGCTGAGCAGATTGCGGCCTTGTATACACGACATGGAGACACAGGCGGAACTGCACGCTTTCAGCTCAGCTGGCCTTCGCCCTGAATGGAAGAAATCCCTCCAGCACTCCTCTCCCAAGAGTCAATGATAAAGGAAAGCAGAATCACCTTCAGATCACACAAAGGCTGCGACTGTCCTGGATCTCCACCGACACCCATGGGTGCTGTGATAGAGGGCCCCAAAACGTGCTAGGTCAGCCAATTGGCCCCAGTCTTTACCCGCACTTGCTTTACATTTCAGCTTTGTCCCCTAAATCAGCTCCCAAGCGACAAGTGAAAATACAGCAGACAGGAGAGACAGGTACCAGGCTAGACATGGTGCTGCATGCAGGTCAGACATGGGCAACTGTGGACAGAGAGAGGGTACATAGGAGTACACGCAAATACGGGGCAGATGTGCTCATCTGCAATTGAATACAGGAGAGACTCACGGGGCTGCAAGCACGGGACAGGCAACAGGGGCTCTGCACAAAAACAGGACTGATGCACCACGCAGTAAGTATAGGTACACGTACATAAAAAGAGCAGAAATAGATACAGAACTGTACATAACCACAACAGGCAGGGTCATGAGACCCTACAATACAGGAGCAGAAATAGACCATTCAGCTCATCCAGGCTACTCCACCATTTCATTATGGCTAATATGTTTCTCCTGCCTTCTCCCCGTAACCTGTAATTCCCCCTTACCAAGCAAGAACCTGTCATAAAGACACCCAATGAGTTGTCCTCCACAGCCCTCTTGTGGCAATGAGCTCCACAGAGACCACACAGAAATATAGTGGAGACACATCAGCCTGCACAGAAAGACAGACATTGTATGGCACATTATATACCCACACAAGGCACAGGCAAGACTTAAAGTGAAAGGCACAAGGTTTAAGAGGGGATTTGAGGATAACCTTTTTCACCCAGAGGGTGGTGGGGGTCTGGAATGCACTGCCTGGAGGTACAAAACCTCACAACCTTTCAAAAGATACAGCAGACTTTCTACATTCCGACACCTATGGCACCAGGAGTATCCTGATTGATCAATTATTGCGGGTAATCAAGAGGGCCACATAATCAATGTAAAAACAGACACAAAATAATAGAAATGTAATGCCGGGAGTATACACATCACCATTATACTTTATTTATAGCTTAAATTACTTAAATAATTACACAACCTTGCCTTAAATAAAATTTAACGGCAGAGAGCCTTCTCACTCATGCACTCAACTGACTTCTCAGACATCACAGTATTTGAGCGGAAACTGACTCGAAATTGAATTAACTGTTGATATTTCATGTGGCCATTCAATTGAACATGTATCTTTACACTGAGGTAAATAAATACTAAAAACTAATAATTAGACAATAAGACAGTAAACTTTGCAATATTTGAGGTATACAATTTTTGCCGGTTTATTCAGCGCGCCTAATCACAAGATGCTGGTTAAAAACAAAGTTTGCTGTACTTGGAAGAGCACTTGGAGTGAGATAACATCCAAGGCTATGGGCCTAGCGTGGGAAAGTGGGACCAGTGTAGGTCGCAGGGTATTTTTGGCAGTACAGACTCGAAGGGTCTCCTCCATGTTGTACAATTCTACAGCTGACTGTAAACAAGGCAAAAACACACGCGCACAAACACAAGGGACAGCAGGGAGGTTTACCTGCGTCAGTTCTTTGATCCTATAGCTGACCTCCTCAGTCAAGCTTTGGCACGTTTCCTCGGAGAGCTGGGAGATTCCTATGGACTCAGCGATCACCTTCATTGACTCGGTGGGAAGCAGCGTATTGCTGATCTTCACTTTTTTCTCATCAGCCATGCTTACCTCCCATCATACACCCTACGGAAAACAACTGGATGGAGGGAGAAAATAAATCCAGATGCGCTTCGGGGCAAACCAACAGATCCAAATCGTGCAGCGTTCGCGAATGGAGACCTTTCTCATGCCCTCGTAGCCTTCCTATAACCCAAAGAGCTGCAGCTGATACTATAGCTCAGACATTTTTGCACAAGTTCCACCCAAAATGATCAGCTAACCTCTGTGGAGTACGTTTAAACGCTTCTGGGAAAGGAAAATGAATGATGATCAGCTCTCCTCCTGTCTCGACCTGACCTGCCGATCGAGAACCCCTGCAGGCTCTCATTTCCGGCACCCGCTTTGAACTGGCACCCCTTGCTTTTGTACAGTCCAGGCGGCAGGGCAAAACGAATAAAGAATTATTTGGTTATACGGCCGCTGCTGGCAAAGCCAGCATTTATGGCGCCACCCCTATTGGCACTTCAATCGAACGTCTTGCTAGACCATTTCAGTTAGGAGTCAGCCACTTCGCCGTGGGCTTGGAGTCACATGTAGGCCAGACCGGCTAGGGACGCCAGAATTCCTCCTCTGAACGACATCAGTGAACCAGATGGGTTTTGTGACCATCGACACGGCTGCTATTGGGCATAAAAATGACACTCAGAAGAAACGCCTTTCACCCGCACCTTCGATGGAAACCCCCCAAATCTTTAAACGAGCTCTCAATTCTCCTACACAAAAGGGGGGATATAATTTCAGCATCCACCACCCTCTGCTGCAATAAACTCATCTATACTCCAAGGAGTAATGACTGAAAGTTTCACCATAAGACAGCTATCAAAGATGAGACGATATGTGGACGCCTCCAGGAATGCAGATAGGTAAGGAGTCTATTTATTCACGGTTACCTCCACATCACTTTGCCCAGATCCCCTCTCCCCACGGGATGATTAGCTTGGAGGTTTCAGGGTGGGGACAGTTGGGGGTTTGGAGAAAGAGGAGAATAGACGTTAACTCCATTGCTCTTTCCACAATCACTGCCAGGCCCTGCTGCGTTTCTCCAGCAATTTGTTTGTTTTTCGATTTCCAGAGTCTGCAGCATTTCGTGTGTGTTTTTTTATTATTATAACATTATATTGGAGGATGGAACGTAGCAGCGGAGGAGGGACAGTTGGGTGGAAAGGGGAGGGGGATCTCGGTGGTGGAGGGAGAAGGGGATCTCTATGCAGATAGAGGATCTCGATGGAGGTAGTGGATCCCGGCAGAGGAGGAGGGAGGGGGAGGGGGATGGAGATCCCAGCAGAGGAGGAGGGAGGGGGATGAGGATGGGGATGGGGATCCCGGCAGAGGAGGAGGGAGGGGGAGGTGGAGGGGGATGGGGATCCCGGCAGGGGAGGAGGGAGGTGGAGGGGGATGGGGATCCCGGCAGGGGAGGGGGAAAACGACCTTGATGAAGGAAGGGAGGGATGTTGGTGGGGTAGGGTGAGGATGAGGAGGAGGAGGGAGCTTGAGTGAATAGGAGGGTGAGGGGGGTGTTGATGTTGATGATCTGGATCATAAACTCCCCTTCCTTCCCTCCCTCACACTCACCCAGTGGATCTGCTGCTGTTGCTGGGGCTGAGGGGGAGCAGTGGGGAGGGCCCCCCCTCTCTACCCTAACACACTGTTTGTGTCTCTGTCTCTTCCCCCCCACCCCCCTTCTCCTTCTCCTTCTCCTTCTCCTTCTCCCTCTGTATCTCTCAGGCTCTGACCCCGCCACCAGGCGCCATCTTGGTTGTGTCCTCCCGAGTCCCGGCTCCAGGCGGCGCCCCGCGGGCTCTCTCTCTCTCTCTCTCACACTCACTCCCCCGGGGTCCGGGACGATCTCTCTCTCTCTGTCTGTCTGTCTGTCTGTCTCTATCCACCAACCCGCCCACCCCACTCCCTCATCCCGCTGCGGCTGAGGCCGGCCTCCGGCTCTGTCTCTCTCTTTCCTCCCGGAATCCTCAGGACTAGGCCTGACCCAGCAACCACGTGACACCGCCGGCACTGACCTGCCCTCCCATTGGCTGAGGTGCGACGTGATCCTCCGCCCGCGCATCCCGCTGCTCCGTCGCCGACTGGCTCGAACGCGTCCCTTACGTCACTCCGCTCACGTGGCCTACGATCCCTTCGCCGATTGGCCGATGCTTCACTTGTCCCCGCCTCCCACTCACGTGATGCTTCTTATACCATTGACCCGCATGGCTTCCTCTCATTCCCGCTCCGGTTGCGGATAGTAAGGGTTAGGGGAGATTGTTATTTCTCAACGTTTGGATTTAATATAGTGCACCTTGGCTACACGTATCTGCAAGTGGAGGTCATGGCACGCTGGCTTCATCTGCACTCCTCTTACTGAAACATGCATTAAATACTAACCATTAAAAAAAACCCGAAAGAACTGCGGATGCTGTAAATCCGGAACAAAAACGAAGTTGCTGGAAAAGCTCAGCAGGTCTGGCAGCATCTGTGAAGGAAACAAATATCAGAGTTAACGTTTCAGGTCCAGCGACCCTTCCTCAGAACTCAATGCTAACCATACCCCTCCCAAGGTAAAATATTCCAATCCTGTATGGTCCCATAATTCGTTTACCCTTGCAGTTGGAACTCTGATGAGGCCATTCAGCCTTTCAAGCATGTTCTGCCACTCACAACAATCACGGATGATCTCAACTCCACTTTTCTGCCCTGCTCACCCGTTACTAATTAAAAATCCATCGCACTCGTCAAATTAGCCATCAGCCCACATGGGATGTCGTAAAATCCCTACAGTGTGGAAACACACTATTCGTGCCTGTTGAGTCCACATCGACTGTCTGCAAGTACCCCCATCCAGCTACCCTATCCGTGTAACCCTGCATTTCCCATGGCTAATCTACTGAGGATAGCCTGTACATCCCTGGACATTACAGGGCAATTTAGCATAGCCAACCCACCCTAGTCTACACATTTTTGAACATGGGAGGAAACTCCACACGCATGCAGTTATTGGAGTGTGAAATCGAACCAGGGTCTCTGTGGCTGTGAGGCAGCAGTGCTAGCCACTGAGCCACCATGCTGCCCGTCTCAAAGAAGGGTGCAGAGGGGATGCCCAGGACAGTCTCCAGGCTGGGTGCAGCTAGTATTTTTCGGAAGTGGTGGTGGGGAAGATCCAAAGGCCGGGTTACAGGAGAAAGAGGAGCTTCCACCAGCAGAACCTGGAAGGGGTGAGCTGACTGACCCCAGACGCCTGCCTTCCAAGAATAGGGTCAGCACCTTGTTGCTACTACACTGCCTCTCAACATCCATAGGCACCTCTTCCTGTTCATGGGCCCATCCCCCTAGAAACCTAGCTAAGGGGGTCTCCGGCTGAACCTCGCTGACTTTTGGAAGAAATGATTGAATTTAACCCAATATTCTGTGTTGGAAACCAGCCATTCACCCTACTAAGCCAACAGCATAAAGCTAAAAGGATCACAGCAAATGTTGGCATAAGGATTGGGACAGTCAGCTGTGATCATTATGAATGTCAGTGCAGGCACTTGTTTCTTTCCCAAGGCTACAAAGAATGATGAATGTTGGATGGAGCCAGTTTTAAATATTGCCTTATCGACCTGCTCAGAGATGGCTTTAACCTTCTCTGCAATAACCAACACTTGAATTCAGGGTCTAGAAGTAGGGACATTACCAATACCGTCACGGGGCGGGAGGTTTAAATTGGAGCAGCAGCCAATGAGGGCTTGGGTGGGGCGACTGGGCGGCGCTTATCCCGACACGTGGCCGTGTTTCGGGCGAGGAAAGCGGCGTGATTGGCTGGGGTCTCGAGGGCCCAGTTCATGTTTACGCCCATGATTGGCTGAAGTGGTGGCGTCCCACGTGGGGTCTGACAACGTTAGGGCGGGGATATCATGAAGGGACTTGGCATGCGGTAGGACTTCGCGCCTGACTGTTTGGTACCGTTGTCACGTGCCCCGGCGCTTTCGTGCGACTGGCCGAATGGGCGGGGACCCCCACGTGGGGCGTGAACACTATGATTGGCTGAAAGTTTTGGGGGGTGGGGGAAGAGACCGCAATGAAAGGCTGCTGGGTGATACCCCACGTGGGCGGTGGGCGTTTCCCTACGATAGGCCGGTGTGGTAGTAACGTTCGCACATGCGTCTGTTTGATTGGCCGGGGTGGGCGTCACGTGGGGGGGCGGGTTCGTGTGATTGGCTGCCGCCTGCTAGCTCGCGCCGGGTGCCGCGGACGAGGGGGGAGGTGATGGTGCCGATGTCGTTCTTGCTCTTCATCCCGCTGCTCGCCGGTAGTGCGGCAGCGGAGGAGGAAGAGGGGGTTAGGCTGCCCACGAAGTGTGAAGGTAAAGCGGAGGGAAAAGGGAACGGACACCCCAAGTACCGCGCATCGGTTCCTTCGGGCGCCGTTGAGGAGATCCCCGGTGTTTGGGTGTTCTAGGGGCTTGTGGGGACACGGCGGGAGGTGGGGTTAATAAGGTCAGACCTGGTCGCCCATAGCAACCAGGTATCCAAGATGGCGGCGGCCCACGGTGGGGAGAGGCTGGAGTCCAATGGGCAACTAGTGTCTCCCTTTAACTTCTCCCCCTCTCCCAGTTTTGTATGGGATGGGTATGGCACCTTATTCCAGGCTTTCCAAAGTAAAATTATGCCCTTTTCTGGGGGAGAAAGAAGCTACAACGGAGGGGGTGGCACTGGTTGGTCTGCACTTGCAGTGGGCTGGCACAGCCATGATGGGCTGAATGTCCTGGCCTCCTCCTGTTTATTCTCTCTTGGGGAAGTGAAGGTGTGTACAATTACAACATGTAAAAGGCATCTGGATGGGTACATGACTAGGAAAGGTTGAGAGCGATATGGGCCAAATGCTGCCAAATGGGACTAGATTAATTAATAGGATGGGTTTAGAAGCATAAAAGCTGATAAATGGGACTAGGTTAGGTTAGGAATATCTGGTTGGCATGGACGAATTGGACCGAAGGGTCTGTTTCCATGCTGTATAACTCTATTACTGAAAAGCAAATTTTAGACCCAAAGGTCGAGAACTGAGTGTTATGGGAGTGAGCCCTTCCATGTGCAACTCTGCCATAGTTTGAGATTCTTACTCAACTAAGTGTGTTTTTGGAGGAACTGTGTTGATTCATTGGTTACGTTTTAAGGGGTAACAGTGGTAATGCATCATAATCCAGAGGCCTCAGCTAATGTTCTGCAGACTTGGGTTTAAATCCCACCAGGCTGAAAGGAAAAATCAGTAAAACCCATGACTGATCCAAGTCATACATTTCAAAATGGACCTCAGCTATGACCCTTGCGGTCCTTCCACTCACCTTGTGCACTTGTGCATTCATGTCTAAACATTTCTTTTATTTTTTTTTTTAATCAACCTTTTCAGAGAAGTTATTGTATATCTTAGGTGCAGGTGAGACTTGAAACTGGACCTCCTGGTGTAGAGGTAGAGGCACTACCACTTCACTACAAGAACCCCAGCATTACTTTTCTTTACACCTTGCCATGTAACTGCAGGAGGTGCCACACCTGCCCGATCACCACCTTCCTGCTCACCATCCAAGGGCTTAAACACATGAAGCAGCATTTCACCTGTACCGCACCCAGTGTGGCCTACTCTACATTAGAGAAACCAAACGCAGACTGGTTGACCGCTTTGCAGAGCACCTCTGGTCCGTGCACAAGCATGACCCCGACCTTCCCATAGCCAGGCATTTTAACACAGCGTCCTGCTCGCATTCCTACCTCTCTCTATCCTCGATGTGCTGCACTGCTCCAGTGAATCACAGCTCAAACTGGAGGAACAACATCCCATCTTCAGACTAGAGAGAGGAGAAAAAGGGTCCAGACCCAAAACGTCAGCTTTCCTGCTCCTCTGATGCTGCTTAGCCTGCTGCGTTCATCCAGCTCTGCACTTTGTTATCCAATCTTCAGACTAGGCACTTTACAACCTTCGGGACTTAATACTGAGTTTAACACCTCCAAATTGTGAACACACAGCTGTTCTTTCCTTTTCCTTTAGCTTTACTTGTTATGTTCTCTGTCACCATGTCCTCTCTCTCCTTCCCCTGACTCCAGTGGGACTGTCTGTTCTTTCCAGTTTGGCAGTTAGACACATCATTGTTCTCACATTAATCTGAACAATCAACATCCTTTCTCACCCACACTATAGCATCAATGCTGCCTCCTCCACATTTCATGTCAGCTCTGATGAAGCACCATCGAGACTCGAAACATTAGCTTGCTGTCTCTCCATGGATGCTGCCTGACCTGCTGTGATCTCCAGCACTTTTTGTTTTCAGTACTGTTCTTTTATTGGTTTTACACTGGTAGCAGTTGGCAGAATGTGGTGTTGAAAGCTAGTCTCGATGGTGAAGCTATTGGCAATGCCATTGTTGTTAAAAACCGACTTGGTTTAATCGTATCTTTCAGAGGAAGAAAACTGCCATTCTCGTCTGGTCTGGCTTGTGTGTTAATCCTGACACCACCCACCGCTCCCCCGCCCCCCCCAAACCAAGCGATGCGGCTGTCTGTAAATGCCTTTTAAAATGGCCTCTCGTTCTTTCAGGGGCAACAAATGCTGGCCCTTGTCTGTGATGCCTACTTTGCACAAAAAGATAAAATATGATGTAGAAGGAAAGCAAGCTTTCCAAAACAGGAACAGTTCTGCAGGACCTTCTGGATTTTAACAGACCATTGCTTTAAAGTTGGTTTGCCACTGCAGCAGGTAATTAAGGCAGCAAATGGAATATTGTGCTTTGTTGCTAAAAAGATGGAGTTAAAAACAGGGAGGTTATGCTGCAGCTGTATAGGGTGCTGGTGAGGCCACACCTGGAGTACTGTGTACGGTTTTGGTCTCCTTACTTGAGAAAGGATGTTACTGGCACTGGAGTGGGTGCAGAGGAGGTTCACTAGGTCGATTCTGTGGTTGAGATGGTTGGCTAATGAGGAGAGATTTAAGGCAACCAACATCATCAAAGATTCCTCCCACCCCCGGTTATAATCTCTTCCATCAAGCAGAAGATACAAAAGCTTAAATACAGATACCAACAGGTTCAAGGCCAGCTTCTTCCCTGCTTCTGAATGGACCTCTCACATTTCACATCTAATGTTGATCTTGCTTTTGTGCACTTCCTATGCAGCTGTAACTCTGTATGCCTCACTCTGTTCCATCACCCTATGATCTGTATGTCCTTGTTATGATCTGCCTGTACTGCGCGCAAAACAAAACTTTTCGCTGTTCTTAGGTACATGTGACATCAATAAATAAAACAAAAGACTGTACTCTTTGGAATTTAGAAGAATGGTGGGGGGGGGCCATGTCATAGAAACATAAAATTATGAAGGCAATAAGATAGAAGCAAGGAGGTTGTTTCCACTGGGAGGTGAACCAGGAGCTAGAGGGGGCATAGCCTCAAAATAAAGCGGAGCAAGTTTAGGACTGAGCTGAGGAGGAACTTCTTCACCCAAAGGGTTGTGAATCTGTGGAATTCCCTGCCCAGTGAAGCATTTAAAGCTACCTTGTTGGATGCTTTCTAAGGTAAAAATAGATTTTTTTTGAGCAGTAAAGGGATTAAAGGTTATGGTGAGCAGGCGGTTAATTGGAGCTGAGTCCATGAAAATATCAGCCATGATCTTATTAAATGGCAGAACAGACCCAATGGGCCAGATGGCCTAGTCCTGGTTATGTTGCCCAGAGCGCTCATTTGGTCAGTGTTGGCACTGAATCCACAGCTGGCGTGTATTTTAAACCATAAGCAAGACATCGGGAGGGGCAGAAAAATCAAACTCAAACCTTTCTACTGATAGCGCCTAACTCTCTCTCTTTGACACCGTTGTGTGTGTGTAGTCTGCAAGTTCCTGACACTGGAGCTGCAGTCTGCACTGGACAAGACGAAACGTTCCAAGGAAGTGTTAGAGCTCGGGGAAGTGCTGGACGATGGGAAACGCAAGCGAAAGATCAAGTACAACACATCGTAAGTGCCGCGCGATCATCCGCTTGCGTGGCTGGGGGGCTGCTAATCCACTTGTGGTTTCTGTTTTGTCCCCAGTTTTCCTCTGACAACCTTCCTTCACAGTTTGAGTTCCCTGAAGTTGGTGCTCTGAATACCTCTAGGCCGCAGTTCATTCCCAGTCAGGTTCCAGGCTTTGATGAGGCAGGCCCAAAGGATACTTACTGTGGGCTGTTGGACTGAGAGCACAGGGAGCAGTTGGTTTGTAGGTTGGAATCTCTGGATGCATCGGTTGGGACTTCAGACGGGGAGAACTTTCTTCAAAATACACAGGGCAATGCTCAGTGATGTCCCTGGGAGCTGCTGTGCTCCATAATTAGGCACAGGTCAGGAGTGTGAGGGAATGGGCGCAGCTCCAACAATGTTCAAGAAGCTCGACCCCATCCAGGACAAAGCAGCCCCCACTTGATTGGCACCACATCCACAAACATCCCACTCCCTCCACCACCGACGCTCAGTCGCAGCAGTGTGTACCATCTACAAGATGCACTGCAGAAACTCACCAAAGATCCTCAGGCAGGACCTTCCAAACCCACGAAGGATAGGGGCAACAGATACATGGAAACACCGGCCCCTGTGCGTTCCCCTCTGGGCCACTCCCCATCCTGACTTGGAAATATATTGGCCGTTCCTTCACTGTTGTTGGGTCAAAATCCTGGAACTCCCTCCCTAATGGCACTGCGTGGGTGTCCCTGAAGCACACAGACTGCAGCAGTTCAAGAAGGCAGCTCACCCCCATCTTTCTCAAGGGTAATGGGCAATAAATGCTGTTTTGTTTTTCTGAACATTGTTACTCTTGGGAATTCTAGAAGAGACTTTGGCGGGGGTGAGAGAGAGAGAGAGAGAGCTTCACAAGTCGGCTGTAGTTGGAGGGAGACAATGATTGCCTTTTGGTTATAGTTTAATGACCATGCTTTCTGTCAGCTTTAGTTGAATTTGCTCACTGGCTCTTTCTGTCCCCCCTCCTTCTATTTCCCGCCCCCCCCCCCCGCCCCGCAACCCCATCCCTGCCTGCTAGGGAGACCCGGCTAGCTGATGCCATGGATAACATTTGTGAAAGGATTCTGCAGTACAACATACACGCTGAACGACCCGGAAGCTTGCGATATGCAAAGGTAGATGCACATTTGCACGAAGTTAACAGTGAATCGAGCTGTGCCGTTCTGTTTGCCCAGCGCTTGTCCTTGCTCTGAGGTTGGCTGCACTGTTTCATTAGCACCACTACTCCCACCAAACATAAAATGAAAGAACTGCGGGTGCCAAAAAGCCAAAACAAGAACAGAAATCGCCAGAGAAACTCAGCAGGCTCTGTGTGGACAGAGAGAGAGAGAAAGCAGAGTCGACATTTTGGGTCCAGTGACCTTTCTTCAGACAGCTGCCATTAACCTTGCAGTGGCTTTGACTGTGAATCCCGGCCCACTCATTCGGCATTAACAGCACAGGAAGAGGCCTCTCGGCCCGACCCAGCCAAAATGCCAGCCGTTTGGCCTGTAGCCCTGCAGCTTCAGGTATCTGAGCGGACCCCGAAATCTTTGTTTTTATACATAAAATGCATTGAGGGCTTCTGCTTTCACTAACCCTTTCAGGCAGTGAATTTCCAGACCCTCTGGTTGGGGAGTGAGAGGATTTCTCCGTTCCGATCTTGTCCCCTTCTGAATCCCGCACCCCCCCTCCTCCAAACTAAGGGAAACAGACCCTCCTACCCCCTTGATAGGGGCTGTCTATGGTACCTTAATGACATGGTCGGGTTGCTGCTGCACCTTCCTACATTCACCAGTTGGTGGTGCCAGTGTGCTTTTATGCCCTGCAATCATCACATTCCAAAACTACACAAGGGGAGGTGATGGCCTCGTGCTATTATCACTGCACTGGTACTCCAGAGACCCAGCTAATGGTCCTGGGGTTCAAATCCCACCATGACTGCTGCAATTTGAATTTTCCAAACAGAAAATCTGGGAATTAAGAGTCTAATGATGGCCAGGCGCCCGTTGTCAATTGTCGGAAAGCCCCCTCGGGATCATTCATGTCCTTTAGGGAAGGAAACTGCCATTCTTACCTGGTCTGGCCTACATGTGACTCCAGACCCACAGCAATGTGGTTGACTCTGAACTGGCCTCTGGGGCAATTAGGGATGGGCAGCAAATGCTGGGCCTAGTCAGCAACGCCCTCATCCTGTGAATGAATAGAAAGTAAAATTATTCCCACCATGAAAACTGGCTTCAGCCACTTAATAAGGAAACTAAAGGGCTCAATCATAATTCTCTCACACTCTCGATCAATATCAGTGTTCCTAATGAATGTGATAAAGAACTGATGAGAAACTAGTCCTGTGACTTGTGCAGTGGACTGTTTGTGTGTGCCTGCACCCTAAACATTGGTGTACTTTTACTGATGGTGAAGTCCATCAATATAACTGTGTGCAGAATAAAGGCTTTTTCCCCCAAGGTATGAGGAGCTCAAAACTAGAGGGGCATAGATTTAAGGTGAGAGGGGAAAGATTTAAAAGGGACCCGAGGGGCAACTTTTTCACGCAGAGGGTGGTGCGTGTGTGGAATGAGCTGCCAGAGGAAGTGGTGGAGGCTGGTACAGTTACAACATTTAAAAGGCATCTGGATGGGTACATGAATAGGAAGGGTTTAGAGGGATATGGGCCAAATGCTGGTAAATGGGACTAGTTCAGTTTTTAGGGAACCTGGTCAGCGCAGACGTGTTGGGCCGAAGGGTCTGTTTCCGTGCTGTATGACTCTATTACTCTCACTGGTCTCTGTAAGCCACCTGCCTGTGCTCACTGACCTACGTCGGCTCGTGTTAAGTAACACCCTGATTGTAAAATTCCCACCCTTGTTTTCTTGCCCTTCTGTGGCCCTCAGCCCACTCCCTATCCCCAGGGATCCCTTCCAGCCCCATACCTCCCCTCTCATTCTGGCCTGTAGTTTTAATTATACGCTCCTCACCAATTATTTTCATCCACTGACAGGATATAGATGTCACTGGCTGGGCTAAAATTTATTGTCCATCGTTAATTGCCCCAGAGGATAGTGAAGAGTCAACCACATTACTGTGTGGGTCTGGAGTCACGTAAGCCAGACTAGGTAAAGATGGCAGTTTCCCTCCCTGAAGGACATTAGTATAACCAGATGGGTTTTTCCAAAAATTCAGGTAAATTTAGACCCTTAACTCCAGATTGTTTATTGAATTCAGATTCCACCATCTGCTGTAGTGAAATTCGAACCTTTGTCACATTAAGGCTCATGAGCCCCAGGCTGCTGAACTCCCTTCCTAACCCCCACCCCTGTCTCTCCTCCTCCCCCAATGCCCCTTAAAACCCCCCTGTCTGAGCTCTGGGTCACCTATTTCATCATGCTGCAGGAGACCCTTCAGCCAGTTCAGTTTCTATTCCCTAGCGCCGATCTCCTGCCTCCTCCCCCTTGTGCAGCCCAGTGCCGAGCGTTGTTTGATGTCCTGGGACGTTTTATTGCACACGTGGAACAATATACAAAATTTCAAGTTCTGGTTTAATCATGTTCGTGTGAAAAGTAGTCCATGGAGTCATACCAACTGTTCGGCCCAACCAGTCCGTGCCGACCACAAATCCCAAACTAAACTAGTCCCACCTGCCTGCTCCTGGCCCCTATCCCTCCAAACCTTTCCTATTCATGTACTTATCCAAACGTCTTTTAAATGTTGTAACTGCACCTCTGCATAGGGGAGGCATGGCCTAGTGATATTATTGCCAGGCTGTTACACAGAGACCCAGGTAATATTCTTCAAATCCTACCACAGCAGATGGTGGAGTATGAATTCAATAAAAAAATACGGAATTAAGAGTCTAAATGATGACCATGAATCGATTTGTCAATTGTCAGAAAATGCTATCTGCTCACTAATGTCCTTTAGGGAAGGAAACTGCCATCCTTACCCGTTCTGGCCTATGTATGACTCCAGACTCCCCTGCAATGTGGGTGACTCTTAACTGCCCTCTGGGCAATGAGGGATGAGCAATAAATCCTCTGAATGATTTTTTTTTAAAAATCTGCCTCTTCCTGGGGAAGTTAATCCTACATATGAGCCACTCTCTGTGTAAAAAAAAATGGTTGCCCCTCGTGTCTTTTTTAAAAAATCTTTCTCCTCTCACCTTAAAAACATGCCTCCTTGTCTCAAAATACCCCACCCTAGGGAAAAGACACTTTAGGCTGTGAGGCTAGTGTGTCCTTCCAAAGGCCCTGCACCTCAGATGGGAGACTCTCAGTGGGTTGTGGTCCTTGGTGAGGATCTCAAATTCTTTCGGGATCACATCTTTTAAGACAGTCGAATTGAAATTAAACCTCAAGCTCCTTGTAAGAACTAGGAGCAGGAGGAGGCCATTCAACCCATCAAACCTGCTCCACCATAACCCTTCAAGCTGTCACTCATTAAAAATCTATCTATCTCCTTAAGTTTACTCGTTGTCTCTGCCTTCATCACACTCTGGGGGAAGGGAGTTCCCTTGAGAGAAGTCCCTGTGGTAAATCTGCCACCGCTAATCCCAAAACCATGACCCCACTGGGAAACGACCTTTCCCTGTCCGCTTTCCGAACTCGGGACAGGTAATAAGTGCTGGGGCCCGTCAATGGTTCCATGCCCCACGAGCGAATAAGAGCTACCCGGTCTGGCCTATATGCGACTCCAGACGCACAGCCAATGTGGTTGACTATTAACTAGCCTCTGAGCGATTAAGGACAGAGAATAAATACCAGCGACACCCTCATCGTGGGAGGGACTATAAAAAAAGAAGTTAGAGGTAAGAATAGGCAGCTCGAGTGATGGCGCTTAACTAAAAAATTAAACCCAGAAATTTGTTGAGAATCCTTTCAAGAATCATTCAGTCATACACACCCAGGCCATAGATGAATCAATTTGATATTTTCAATGCTTTCATTATAGTTAATCAGATACTTAGCATGGCCTGTATAAAATGTATTAATTGCTGACTATTTGAAAGATATTATCTCATAACGAGACTATAACATGCAATTTCAAAATAGCCCTTGTAACCACAGAGATGTCTGAAGAACTGCAGATGCTGGAGTTAGAGATAACACACAGTGTGGAGTTGGATGAACACAGCAGGCCAGGCAGCGTCAGAGGAGCAGGAAGGCTGATGTTTCGGGTCAGGAACCTTCTTCAGAAACACAGATTACAACAAACCATGGATTCCCAGCTCAGCTGTTCATTTCCGCGGCGCTGCGGAGTCTGTGGACCGTGTAAATATCGGTGGTGGGCGATTGCACTCCTTTTTTGGTTATTTGAAAAAAAAAGTCTTTTGTTGTGTTTTTGGTTGCACTTCAGCCACACGCTTCCTGATCTTTGGGCACTGAGTGTGGTGGGTTGAGGGATGTTAGGAGGATCTCCTCGAGACTCTGCTCCTGGGCCTGGTCAGTCTGGGGCTATAAACAGGTCCAGGCAGCGGGCTGTGGAGTAGGGGTGGGGGGTCATCTCTGCTGACTGCCTGCCCCTCTTCCGCGGTTACGTTCGAGCCTGGGGGTCCATTAACGCTCTTGATGCCTTCAGAGAGAGAGGTGGGCAGCAGGGGGTATACAATGCTTTATCCACCCTTCCAACTCTGTTTTCATTTTGTCCCTTCCCAATCTACCTCTCTATCTTCTCCTCAACATTGATGGCTTGCATTCCTTCTGAATGGGGCAGGTGATATTATCGTTAAACCAGAGGCCCAGGTAATGTCCTGGGGTCCCAGGTTCAAATCCTGCCATGGGAGACGGTGGAATTTGAATTCAATAAAATATCTGCAATTAAGAGTCTAATAATGACTGTGAATCCATTGTTGATTGTTGGAAAAACCCATCTGGGTCACTAATGTCCTTTAGGGAAGGAAACTGCCATCCTTACCTGGTCTGGCCTACATGTGACTCCAGACCCAGAGCCAATGTGGGTGACTCTTAACTGCCCCCTGGGCAATTGGCGATGGGCAATAAATGCTGCCTAACCAATGATGGCCTCATCCTGTGAATGAATTGAAAAAAGTAATGTAAATGGCAACACGTTGTGGTTTATTGGTGGTGGATAGTGTTTAAGAAGAAATAAAAACAGACTCAGGGTGATTTTGGTCGTGGGAAAGTTGGTCAGTTACTCATTAACAGCAGTGTGTCCGAACTACAAGATGCACTGCAGAAATTCACGAAAGAATCTTCCGAACCCACGACCCCTTCCATCTCAATGAACAAGGGCTGCAGGTACGTGGTGCCACCACCTCCTGCAGGGTCCCCTCTCGCACTTCTGGCCCTTGTGTTGTCGTGGGCACTGTCCCTACCTTTGAGGCAGGAGGCCCAGGCTCAAGCCCCACTTGCTCTTGCGACCTTACATAACATCTCCGAACACGTTGATCAGAGAATACCTACAGCACTCATGCAGGGCTTTTGTGGTGTAGTGGTAGTGTCCTTATCTCTAAACCAGGAGACCTGGGTTTAAGTCCCAACCTGCTCCAGAGACATGCTGTAACACCAGTGAACCAGTTGATGGAAACGATCTATAATGTGAAGTGGTGTTTGTGCTTGACAGCAAGGCGAAGCAATTAAAAGTTTAGGATGTGTTTCGTGATCCACACTCTGAAGATGACAGTTCATGAAATGGGTGAAAGATTGGTCCTTAAAAAATAGTTCTATGCCCTTGAAAAAGATTGCATTTTTTCCTGAGTTTGACAAAACAGAAGGACAAACAGTCAATGTGAAAAAGCCAGTAACATTTTGGAGGGACTCACTGCAGAGCTGACTCAAGTTTTCGTTGAAGAAGGAAACAGAAAACAGACTCAGGGTGATTTTGGTCGTGGGAAATTTGCTCTGTTACTCATTAACAACAGTGTATCCTAACTACAAGATGAACTGCAGAAATTCACTAAAGAATCTTCCGAACCCACGACCACTTCCCTCTTAAGGACAAGGGCAGCAGATACATGGGAACACCAGACCCCCTGCAAGTTCCCCTCCGAGCCACTCCCCATCCCGACTTGGAAAGATATTGGCCGTTCCATCAATGTTGCTGGGTCAGAATCCTGGAACTCCCCTCTCTAAGGGCACTGTGTGGGTTAGGGTGGATTGGCCGTGCTAAATTGTCCCATAGTGCCCAGGGATGTGCAGGTTAGGGTGGATTGGCCGTGCTAAATTGTCCCATAGTGCCCAGGGA